ACATGAGATATATACATTAAAACGCAGTCAATCATAATAAAATACGGAAAAAACATAGTCATCATACGTGCATGATTGTTGAGAGAAAACGCGAGCTCATCAAGGCAAGTCAACTCGAAGGAAGCCAGACATACATGGTTCTTTAAACGGTGCAAGGCGCAAAGAGCGATGCACTAAACAAATAAATATAATATGAAAACGTCGTAAAAAAAAATAGTCAAAAATATGCAACTATAGCTCACTCGGTATCGAGAAGACGTGACAAAGACGAACACGAACACTCCGCGCGCACATGGCCGATTAGACAACAGATTTAACTGCCAACGGTGAAAAGACAGTTACGCGTAATCAATAATAACAGTACCGCATGTACAGAGGACGAAAGCAATCAACGTACAACAATCGCAATCAAATCTTCGATATATTATCGATTATCGATAGACAAGAAGCATTCAGCTTTAAGGTGTCGTTCTGGAGATTTAATGCATTTCTTTGACGTTTAATATGGATCATCTCCGATATCAATCTCCTCCCCAGAAATGCCTCCTCATCCAAAATCTCAACGCCATCAAAATCGAGCGTGTGATCCAAAGCTCTGTGCTCGGCAATGACAGACGTGAGGTTCTTTTTATGTTCCTTGAGCCTGGTCTTCAACAAACGTCCCGTTTGTCCCACATAGGAAGCGTTGCAATCCATGCAGTTGATCTTATAGACTATGTTGTTGCGAGAGTCCTTATCTAACCTGTCTTTGCCAACTTTAATGAAACGGCGCAAATTATTTATTCCAGTGTAGGAAAGTTTCACATCTAGATCTCTAACGCATTGTCGGAAACGTTCGGAAAAGTTCTTAACGTACGGAACATTGAAATATGACCGTTTAATTTGATCGTTCTCTTGGATAATTATTTTAAAAGAACACGCCTTACATCCGCGTTTGGCTCCTTATGGCCTATCAATATTTTAATTTATTTTGTTAATTTCGAGAGCCTTTAATTTTGTTTATATTTTTTATTTTTATAATATTAAAAATATTTAAAAAAATATATATGTAAAAAAAGTATAAATAAATTGGTATATAATTCGGCTCTATGTATTTTAAACAACATAATAATTTAGTATCGAGCACTAAGAGCCTATAAACGCGGATGGCAATGCGTAAATTTTTACGAACATTAATTGTTCGCGAAAAAATTTTTTAAGACATATGCACATATGCCAGGTTATAGATTCTCTTAGTTTGAGACTTCTATAACAACCCCTTTTACCCCCCTGGAGAGATGTAGACAGGAAAAATATCGGGGCGAAGTCGCTGAATCGGGAATCGAACCCGAGTCTTTCGCTTGCCGGGCGACTGCTCTTACCACTGAGCTATTCAGCCCCACACCGATACTTCTCCTGTACGTTCTTATTAATCGGTGGAAATAATGAGAACACGATAATTAGCTCAACGTGTAGTTCTAAATAAATTGGTATATAATTCGGCTCTATGTATTTTAAACAACATAATAATTTAGTATCGAGCACTAACCCCGACTTCGCCCCGATATTTTTCCTGTCTACATCTCTCCAGGAGGGTAAAAGGGGTTGTTATAGAAGTCTCAAACCAAGAGAATCTATAACCTGGCATATGTGCATATGTCTTAAAAAATTTTTTCGCGAACAATTAATGTTCGTAAAAATTTACGCATTGCCATCCGCGTTTATGGGCTCTTAGTGCTCGATACTAAATTATTATGTTGTTTAAAATACATAGAGCCGAATTATATACCAATTTATTTAGAACTACACGTTGAGCTAATTATCGTGTTCTCATTATTTCCACCGATTAATAAGAACGTACAGGAGAAGTATCGGTGTGGGGCTGAATAGCTCAGTGGTAAGAGCAGTCGCCCGGCAAGCGAAAGACTCGGGTTTGATTCCCGATTCAGCGACTTCGCCCCGATATTTTTCCTGTCTACATCTCTCCAGGGGGGTAAAAGGGGTTGTTATAGAAGTCTCAAACCAAGAGAATCTATAACCTGGCATATGTGCATGTCTTAAAAAATTTTTTCGCGAACAATTAATGTTCGTAAAAATTTACGCATTGCCATCCGCGTTTATGGGCTCTTAGTGCTCGATACTAAATTATTATGTTGTTTAAAAAAAGTATTATAATAATAATATAATATCTAATATATAATAATATATAAAATAATAATATTAATAAAATATATTATGTTTCAGATTTATGAAGTCATAGATTTTAATATTAATTATTTTCATTATAATAAATAATATCTTTCCTCTCTCTCTTTCCTATATTCTCCACTATTCCTATTTCTCTTGCTTCATTGTGCAAAGGCCTCATTATATATAAATATTTCTAGGTTACCTACATGGTATCGACATATTACCCACATGTTACCCACATGTCAAAATGGGAGCGTCCCGTTTGATCACGTTGCGATTGACCACAGCCAATTATATCGACCTGTGCCTAGGGTAACCAGCAACGATTAACCAATCAGAGAGTTCTATTTTGAATTGGCCAATTGGCGACGTGGTCAATCGGGTGCCACCCTGTCAAAATTCTCATGCAGCGCCTCACTGCTATAAATCGGTGAACTGTAAGGCGTGAAAAATGGCCTCGTAAGCGAGAAATGACAGCCCAATTTACGTTGCGTCCCATTTCATAATTATTTACTTTGTGCGTTGTGGTGTGTAATGTATTAAGGAAACTTATAAAAATGGACGAATACTAAGCTCTATATAAGGAATAAACTTTAGAAAGTAACATTTTCCAGTCCTTTCGACAGCTGTTAAACCGCATGTTTTTTCGCATTTTCAAGGCTTCATTTTGGACTCAATTTATGGCTATTTATAAATTGTGAAAGGAAAGGAGTAGTATCCATTTTTTTACAGGTGTGCTGAAGAGATTGATAGTCTTATTTCATTCAAATATGTTTTTATTTAGATGTCAGTTGCAATATAAATCTGGGTGTCCTTTCTCGCTTATGACGTTACGATTTCAAGATGGCCGCGGTGATTACTCCTTAATTTCAATAAATGTTACATGTTACATGTTATATTCCATTAATTATGATTATATTTTTATTAATAGAACAATTATTGAATTAAAATAAAAAAACATTATACTATGAAAATAATTTATTATCAAAATTCAACTAATTTTTAAATAATAAAGCATTTTTTTATTAAATTCTATTGTATTTTTTGTGTTATATATGTTATAAAAATTCAGAAATTGTTATATATTATTGTTTTGTTTTGATAAATGTAATATAATAATGTCATATAATAATTTAAAAGCATGCTTTTCTTAAAAAAAATTAAAAATTATACAGGGTGTCCCAAAAATCGCGTCCGATCGAATATTTCATAAACTATGCACTTTAGAAAAAAATGTTTCAGACAAAAGTTATATGGCTTGAAGGGGGCCATCAGATAGTGGCAATGAATTGACCTTGGAGTCATTTGAAGGTGACTTAAAGGTCGTCTTTAATTTCTTAAATGGAACCTTCTATTTTTTATTATAATACATATTCGTGTAGCTTATCTCGAAAATTTTCCAAAACACTATAATAAAGTATTTCTTCATTGAGTATTTTTCGAGTTATGACGCTTGAAATCATTTCTTAATTTGCAAATTACATATTTTTTTCTTAAAAACAACTGTTTTTTCTTTACACCAATTGATTCCTCTCATTATTTTGTACATAAAAGTAGGTAAGATACTCGAAAAATGAATATTTTACAAGCTATTTTACGGTTTATGTAAAATTAAGAAATTATTTCAAGCCTCATAATTCGGAACGTACTTAATGAGACTAACTTAATGAACTAACTTAACTAACTAACTAATGAACTAACTTAATTATAGTGTTTTGGAAAGCTCTCGACTTGAGCTACCAGAATATTTAATAAAAAATAGGAAGTTCCATTTAAGAAATTGACGGTGATCTTCACGTGACTTTCAAATGACTCTCCCATGTCAAATCATTGCCACTATCTGATGGCCCCCTTCAAGCCATACAACTTTTATCTGAAACATTTCTTTCTAAAGTGCATAATTTATGAAATATTCGACCGGTCTGGAACTTTTGGGACACCTTGTATAATACAACTATTTGTACTACTATTTGTCAAACTGGTACGACAGATATACTACTTTTTCTCTAAGTTAATACTACACTTCTTCCTCCAGTATCTGGCAACACTGCATTGGATACGTTTTAGAAACGTATATAAAATGAACATGTATTACCTGGGACATTTATCCTAAAGAGAGAAATAATCTTGTGACAGGGATATTAAACATATTCTGAATAATGAGAGCATTTAGAATCGTCGTGTTCCAGTTTATTACTAATAGTGTTATGTGTTAAATATAAAGGCACAACAAACAATGAGTACTCTTCACTACTTTCTAGATATGGTACGTTTCGTATATTGCCTTATATTGCGATATACGAATAATAATACCACGCTAACAATCGTTATAGAATTATTTTTGAAGATAGAGAAAAACATCATAACATTAACCTAAATCTTTGATCTCTCGAACTTAAATAATTACATTTATTCACAACCTTACAAGAAAATTGCTCAATGTATTTATCCCTTTCTCACATGAACACGATGCAATTAACATTCATGTTGACAATTCGTTCGGGATTCGATTAAATAAATTTATATTAATATCTAGATATTACGCAGATAAAGTTCTCAATATGAAAACCTATAAGTTCAAACAAATTTTTTTCATAAATTCTTCGATATTCTTGCTTCAAGGTCTATTATCTCAATGTATACAATTTTCGCTATTTAATATTTTTTTCTATTTCAATATAGAACAGTGACAAATACATTTGATGTCGCTCGTAAATGAAAACATCTTTGAATTATAAGGAATTTCATGTTGCTATAACATACATCTATTATATATATATATATATATATATATATATATATATATATATATATATATATATCTATATATATACAGGATGTTTCATAAATGGTGGGCAAAATTTTAGGAATGGATTCCTCATGCTTAGAGAAGAAAAAAAAATTAATCAACATAGGTCACACATATTAAGATTTCTGTAATACAAAATTTTGTCTCATTTCTCGTCTTAAAAGTCCTTTTACAGACATCAACAATGTTTTTCAAGTTCGGCGGCTTAAAAAACATTGTTGATGCCTATAAAAAAACTTCTAATAACTCAAAAACTAATCATTTCCGGACCTATGTTGATTAACTTTTTCTTTCTCTAAGCATGAGGAATTCATTTCTGAAATTTTGTGAAACCACTCATGAAACACTCTATATATATGTATCATGTAATGTTTCCTATTAATTGGTATAAGATTATTCTATCGACGATTTGATCCCGGAGTAATTCGAAATTAGGCCTAAAACCTATATATTATACTTATAAAAAATTCGAATCATCGCGATCATTTGTTTTGGAATGTTTAATGTCATAGGATAAAAAAAGAATCGCCTGATATTTGCTGTGACCTATATCTCATCATGGATATTGAAAAATTTGTACTTTCATACTCTATTTAAGAGAAGAATTGTGTTCTCAAGAATATGTTACATAATCGAAGTTATATCAAATTTATAAAGATTATGAAAGTTTCATCAAACATTTGTTCAACAGTAACTACAATGGTTATACTAAACTACTACAAACTAATTACTATTACAAATTGAAGTACACGATTTTTTTCTAACATTACCCTGAATAGATATATACATTGTTGAGCATGGTCCTTGACTTGATAAATTATACAATTTCATCGAGACAAATCGATCATTAGACAAAAAAAATTTAATGTATTGTCAATTTTTTTATACGTATGTGTGTGTGTGTGTGTGTGTCATAATTTATAAGAATATAAAAAAATAATATGCGAAAAAATTATATTTAAATACAAAGTTCTGTTTATACTGTAATTTACCTGCTGTAATTATTATCATCATTATATATCAAGTAATGTGCGTGAAGAGAAAGCTTATGATGGATGGAAAGGAGAATCACTATCGAATTATTTGGCGAAATATTTCGATGTGTTTAAAGAAACATTGGACGAATGAAGACGCCGCGACGGCGCTGGACTAACTGGAGCCGACGGAGATGGTCCAGTGGGCGTTGTCGGCTTGGAGCCTCTTCTACTCCGCCTTAAAGTTGAGTACGGACTGGTACCTCGATTAACATGCTCGTGAGCATAAAGTAGCACCCCGATGTCCCGATTACCTGCCTCGAGAGCGATCTTTAAAGCTGAGCTGCCATCGACGTCAACGATAGACGGATCGCAATCCGGATGCGCGAGAAGCAATCTCACGATGTCGGTATGACCATGTTCCGCTGCGCACATCAGGGCGGTGCTACCGTCTTCGTCTTGAATATTAACGGCCGCTCCAGCATCTAATAGTAACTGCGTCATATCTTTACGTCCATGCGATACCGCTAACATCAATGCAGTTTGTCCATGCTTATTAAAAATAAGAAAATTATTTATAAGATTAAAAAAAAATTTTTATATAAAAATATTTGAAATGTTAATATGAAATATCAATATTATTAAAAATAATATTAAAAATAAAAACAATATTTAAAAAATATATATTTAGAGACAACAGTTTTCCTATATTTAATAATAGAATTCTCCTTAATAATAGTTAAAGAGATTTACCAATTTTGCACGAATGTTGACATCAGCAAGTTGGAACAATCTATTCGCCACAGAAGCATGTGTGGAATTTCTGACTTCAGCCAAAGCAGCCAACATCACAGCTGTATAACCAGCCACATTTGCTTTGTTAATATCGCAGACTTTGGAGTCTAACAGTATAGATACTACATCAAAATTGCCATGAGAAACTGCATAATGCATCGCTGTGTTACCACTGGTATCTGTCATGTTAACAATGTATTCCAGCAAAGTACTAGAGCACTCTTCAAATCGGTCCAAATAATCTTCAACATCTAATGGATTTGCATTAGATGTACTGGATATCTTGAACCATTCTTGCTGTATAATATTAGTAGCATTTTTAAGTTGATGAGTAATGTTCCTACTAGGTGATTTTTTGATACTGTCATTGAGCACTTTCATGGCAGCTTGCATCTCTTTTGTAGGCTCCACTTTCTTCCTTGGTTTATCCTGAATTGGTTGAAACAAAGTTGATTCTGATAGCTCAGACTTTTCTTCATTATCCTCCTTTTCCATACTACACATCTCTTTTGATGCAATTTTTTCATGCTTGTTTTTCTCAATTTGTAATTGTTGAAAATTGCTAGAAAAATTAAAAGAAAACTTTTTTTATGTCTATTTAAGAAAGATGATATATACAGATATAGATGCAAATTATTGCTTATTTAATAATATAAAAATATTTTTATTTTCTCTGATAATTTTTTTAACTTTTTATGCAAAAAAATTGCTATATTTTAATTATTTCTGTAACCAGTATAACCCAATAATTGATGCAATCAAAATGTTGACAATTAAATAAAAAAAATTAAAAATTGTGAAAGCTATAAATATATAAATAATATATATATATATATATATATATATATATATATATATAATAATTATTACTATTAGTATCAACAGAAGTATATATACTATTAATATCAACATAAAATCGAAATATCTAAACTCAACGTAGTGTTAGCTATATAAAAAATTAACGATAAAAATATTAATCGCTATAAATAAAGATTAGCTTAATGGAAAAACATATTACCCTTTCACGACCGTATAAGAATAAGGTAAAATATCAGTGACTTCAAGATCGCTGAATAAATGAGAAGCATTGCACTGAGGCGACGGCGACTGCTGTTGCTGCTGTTGTAGCATCGATCCGTCGAGATCGAAGACGCGCTCACTTGTTTACCATAGTAAAACCGTCAATGTGACGCAAGACACGCATCAATACGATATTTATGCCGATAGAATACTCGATGACGCTGACAGGACGCAAAAAAGGACAACAAACCGCTCGATGTACTCGACTAACACGAAATATTACGTTATATCTACAGTTCGGGGCGGCGTGTGGCTGAGGCGGTAAGGTACTTGCCTGCTATATGAAGTATGAAGGGTCTCGGGTTCAAATCCCACTGAGGCAGGAATTTATTTCTATAGCCGCCCCAATCCCCCTCCTATTCCTTCCCCTCATCCCTTCCCCCTTCCTTACTCATATCCCTTGATTTGTTATATTCTATTTGATGTGAGAAACTCTGCTGTTTAACAATACTTTATTACCAGTTTATGACCGGATTGATTAGACTCTTATATTAAGGGGTCAGTTAATTAATTGGTTGGTCAATTAATTTAAAGAAATGAAGTGAATATACGCAGTTCTATTATTCATAATCTTCTTGCCGTTTCTTTTACCGAGAAACATCCCTCACAGTAAGGGCTCCTCCACATAGACATATAGAATAGATCGGTTCCTATCGCAAGAGGCAGTGTTGAAAGATCTAAAGGACAGAGAGATGATTCCGGGTATCTCTGTCCTTCTCTTTTGTCTTGTGGTGAGGACACTGATGGGATGAGTGAAAATGAAGCGAGCGTGCACACTGCTTTCCCCTCAACTCCTACAGTGTCCCCACGAGACAAAAGAGAAGGACAGAGATACTCGGAATCATCTCTCTATCCTTTAGATCTTTCAAGGCTGCTTCCTACGGTAGGGGCCGGTCTATTCTATAAGTCTATGCTCCTGCATATAGGACGCGGCAACGCGTTCGATAACCAATCAGCAAATACATAACATCCGCCGTTAAAATTGAACTCGATCCAACTTTTGCATTGGCTTATCGTGTCGCCTCTCGCCACGCGTAACATGTTGCCGCATCTTGTGTACAGGAGCCATAAGCTTTGATCGCGAAAATAACAGATGGCGTGAATTGTAGTCGAGCAGGAAAAGTAAATCGGATTTCAAAATGATATCTTATTTGTTTACAATCTTGAAGTTTTTAAGAAGAAATTAAAAAAAATAATTTATGATTGTGATATATAATTCAAAGAATTAAAAATTAAAAATTATAAATTATAAATGTGAATTCGTATACATCTCAAAATATTTTTCAACAAGATAATGTGTCCTCGTAAAAAAAATCTTAATATTTAAATTAAGCCTTAATGATTAAATTTAAAGTAAATTTTGGAATTTAATATAAAATTTATAAAATTTACTTTCATAAAATAATAATAAATATATTTATTAAGTATATTTAAATATTATGTATTGTTAAGAAATTTTATGTTTATCAGATTAAGAATCAATTTTGTGATAAACGTTTTAAATTTTTAATTTTTCACATAAGTGTAAAAAAGAGAGAAAAAATAATCCTAAATTACTAACCGATTACTACTGTCGTATTGCTCCTTGTTGTCTGTATCGTATCTTATCACACCGGCAGCTGCTACTTTCGTGTACGTATCTTGACGCTTGAACTGCTTCTTGTGATCACCGGAAATATTCAAGAAAATATGAGACGGTCTTGGAATCCTAGATACCATATTACTATTCTGATGATTTAGGCTGTTCTCTGCATTATTCGCGATCTGTTTTGCTAGACTCTTAATCGTTTCCTTGCAATTGTCGCAATAGTTAGCTGCACAAGAAATTGAGATATGTGGCCTAACGGAGTCACCAACCGACACATCAATGAACTTCTTCTTCGTCGTCGAAATGCCGACATCTCGGCATTTCGGCGTGAGGCCAAAAGTGTCAGTGCCCCGAGTAATAGTTCTCACCAAGTCATCCATTGTCACTGCCACCGATTTATTGGCTTTCATTTTAATCCTCGTGTCGCCATAATTGAACGAATGACTTCTCGAATTCATCGAATTTAGTGACACTGGTGGCTGCATCGTTATTGGATCTGGTCCGACGCATACACTCTTGGTGAATGGATCAAGTTTGACTTCAACTCCAACCTCCGTCATCGATGGCTTGGCGGTTACACTCACATGCGAACGCATCTTGAACAATTCAGTCACCTGGACTGCATAATCTCGCTTTTCAAATTTGACTGTTTCCAGCAGGCATTGAACGCTCTTAGAAGAAGTGTTTTTCATTAAGTTACTGCTATAACTTTTCAAAGCGTCCTCTACGAGCAATGTAGTATCCTCTTTCGTTAAAATATCCTTCATACTCAAACTCGTTGTTGTACCGCAAGAACGTATTTTTATTTCTTTCTTCGCTTCTGGCGGAATATCCTCGATCAAGAAATGACTACACTGGAGAACCTTGGATCTGTTTTCTGTGTTGATGCCAAAATCACGCATTTTTTTCGCGGTTTTGTAATTGATTGAGTCGTTCTCGTCAAATGATATCGATTCTATGTGAAAAGGAGTTTTTATCAGATGCTTTTTCCGTACTTCGGGCAGAATCTCTTCCAACATCAATTGACTACGAATTAGATTGGTTTTTAAACTACGATGCTGGAAATCGTAAAAATTCGTAAGATTCGATGATGTTTCATCTTCCAGTGCGATATTTCCATCTTGAACCTCAGGCTTAATCTCCTCGATTTGTAATTGGCTTTTTTGTAAAAACGGTTTAATTGGCGTGCTCGTTATCATACCGACATCTCTCGTTCTAATCTGCTTGCAATAAGAAAATATCATGTGGCATTAGTTATTAATTCAATATGGAAAATTATGTTCTATTCTTAATTAAAGATAAAATGAATTATAAATTTTTAACCGAGCGTATTGTCATCTCTATTTGGATTATTGAGTTGTAAATTAATGATTTTAGTACGATTAGAGAAGTCTTTATTAATTTATGAAAGAATTTAGTTGGAGATGACTAATTGTTATGGAGATGACTTTATCGTAAATTTATTTGTATATAAGATAAAATAACTATTTTTTATAACATTAATAAGAATTTAGAAATTCTAGAAACATTAATAAGAATCTAGAAATATTAATAATTGTATTTAATATAGGAATAAATTAAATATAATAAAATTGTGTATTTAAATATATCAAAGCAATATATATATATAGTTTTGATATTTCAGTTAATAATATTAATTTTTAAGGGAATCTTTACCAAAAATTTTGATCGTTAGGTTAATGTGTACATTTATGATAGGTTAATTATTTTTAAATTTATATATATATATATATATATATATAATATATACATATATATAATTACATATACAAGATAATATGATAATTATTTTCATCATTTATATACTGTTATATAATCGCCTCAAATATTATAAATATTATAAATATTATAAATCACAGATTACCGAGCAGATTATATTGTCGATGATGTATCTGGGAAGTTTCAGAAAGTAATGCAACATAGTACTAAATAGGGGAAACATATTACATCTAATATTCTTATATTCTTCAATCTCAAAGCATCTCTTTATGAATATTTTCCACGAGGTACTACAATACACACACATACACACACGTGCATGCGAAAGACGACATTAAAAAACAACATACGAGACGATAGCAATACATGACAAATTGCTCTTTATATCTTGATTTTCACTTCTAATTAGAAAGAAGCAATCACAACTTGTTTCAAGATGTACGCAAATCGCCGAGAAATTTCTAGTTTCTACCTAATAAGAATTTAAGAAATTATATATGTTCTTCAATACTTCAAAAATCCAAAAGGCTAAAAAATATTCAAAAAATATTCACAATTTCTCTCTCTCTCTCTCTCTCTCTCTCTCTCTCTCTCTCTCTCTCTCTCTCTCTCTCTCTCTCTCTCTCTACAAATATTAATAACAAATATTAATAAATTTTTATTTTAAATCGATTAATTTTTTATGTTATTTTAATTATTTATTCTGCTTTTTTATTTTATAATCTATTTTAATTATTTATTTTATTTACTTATTTTATTTTATTTGTTTTATATATCAATTCTTTAAAATTAAATTAATATGAATAATATTTTCGGAATATATAAAATATCAAAATCTCCTGAATTTTTTGTATTTTGCCTTGAGAGAAAGATATATATATATGTATATTTAGCTTAAATGAACGATGCAGGAATGATTAGCGGGTATATATTTGTGTACCTGTTGATGTGATACACCGATGTCTCTTGTCATCACACCACACATAGTTCCCATGTCTCTGGTATATATAGTTCCTGTATTCTTCAAATTACGCAGAGCAGTGACATGCTGTTCCGAGAATGACTGACTACGATACCTATGCAAGGCATCATTACGAGAATTCGTTTTACTTAGCTCATCCACTTGTCGCAGAAGATTGCGTTTCTCTTCTTTCAATACCGAGACTTGCACCTGCAAGAGAAGAGATTGCGCGCGTATAGAATTAAATAAGTTCGGCAATAGCGTTATGAGCTGTTATCGAAACTCATAACAGCGAGTATGAAAAAATGTGAGTTTTAATAATATTATGCGGAATATAATAAAGATAGAAATATTACACTATTTTTCAATAAATTATAGAAATAGAATATTTGATGTATCATTTTTGGGCATTCTCAGGTTAAAGAAGAAAGAAAAGTTCTTTACTAAGTAAAGTAGACACAACAAGAAACAAAAAAAAGAAACAAAATAAGAAACAAATAAAATAAGAAACAAAATATTTTGTGTATATATCAAATATATAAAAATATACAATATTAATTTAAAAAACATTAATATTTTTAAATTAATTTTTTTTATAATATTTGACGGTCAATTTTTATGAGAATAATTGCGATGTGCAATTATAAATATAAGTTTATATATAAATATCTTTACATTTCTTCGAACAAATTCATTGTTTTACGATTTTAATGCAAAACAAAATAATTTTATTGTTCTATATGTACAATTTCATTGTCTTGTATTATTAAGCATATAACGATAAATCTTCGATAATAGGAACAATAAGATTGCGATAAAGCAATGAGAATACTTTATACTCTTCTAATTGTTTCGCTGGAACGGAAGAGTTTGCTTGGGTGCAAATTACGTGTCGAGCGATGAACGTTACGAAAGTATAGGAGGGAGAAGAATATGAAATTAGTGAGAACTCACTTGCAGCATGGGAATCGCCTTGACCTGTTCCTCCAGCTCCTTCATTCTTTCCAGAGATACCGCCATTTGTTCTCTGATATTCTATGTAATACAAAAATAGTTTAGTTTAGTCATTACTATTATTTTTTTATTTTTCATTTTTATCAAACAAATTGCGCATTTTAATTAAAATTATTGATCCTTAATATTATTAACATATATTTATTTATTTATCTATAACAACATATCTGAAATAAATTATTATTATTAATATTATTATTAATAAAAATTATTAAAAATCTCTATTATTATTAAAAATCTCTAATTAAAAATTAATGAAAAAGAATAGAAACAGTTCATATAATATACAAGCAGTTTCAATCAGGCAATAAAAAAATGAAATTATTACAATTTTGCGCAAATATACAGATTTCCATTGTTTAAGTCTTAAATATATGCAGAAATTATTTTTTAGTAAATTTTATACCTGAAGTGCACCAGTGCTGAGATTTGAGTTACCGCTTCCGACACTGACGTTGTCGGAATCTGCCAACTGGGCCGCATTTTGCACCGATGCTGCCCCATTCATGCCATCTAGCGTAATAAAAATTATTTAACTTGTCATAAAAAATCATCAAATATTTTGCAAAAAAGTGTCGCTGGCAAAATGCAACTGCGTGTAATATAAAACATTCACTTTAATCGATTCATTTAATTTTGCTCTTTATTAGATTTAAATTTAAAAAAATTAATTTAAAATAATTTCGTTCCATAAAAGATATATTTTTCGAAAATTGAAATCATTGATGAAATCACTGATGAAATCATTGATAAGACTTATTTATTGGAAAAAGTCAATCAAAGATTTTTGCCCTGCGAAATATTTGATTTTTTTAAGCTAATAATAATATTCTGTATAATGTTTATGAATATCTTTTTTATTATATTTTTATTATATTTTTTGTGACATAATCAACACCAAAAATAATTAATAACTTTTTTCATGCTATGAATACATTCTTATGCAATACTCAATGATAGACTGTATTCACCTATGTTCGAGATGTTTTTTCATCAGTCGCTTGCGCAATTACGTTACACAGCAAAGCGTTATCTAAAATAGAACAATAAAGGAATACGACAAATATAGCGGCGAATTTCTTCAAGATCGTAATATGTTATTTCGATTGCTTTTGCAAAATTTTCAGCACGCAAAATATCGTGCTGTAATCTTAATTTTAATAATATATGTATCTCGTTACAATTTTTTTTAACAAAATAATACAGTTTTAAAACTATAAATGATGAAAAAAAAATAAAAGCTGATTAATTAAAAAAAAAAAAAAAGTTAAAAAAGATATATTTTCTTATTAAGGCAGATTTTTGTTTTAATAGAATTTAAATTTTGAGTTTATTATTGTATGTAATATTTAATATTAAAAAATATAAAGTTTGCAATAAATGACAATTTTTTTCGACACTTTCTTGCTAAGAAAAAAATTAATTTCTCTAAATTAATTAGAGAAATTTATTATTAGAAGGTCATAAAGTTACTGGACCTCGTATATACATAGATGCTGAACATATGGATTAAGTGAAATAAAAAGATTAAATGTAAACTTTTAATACTGTAAAAGTTTCATAGCAACAAACTTACAAACGTATTATTAATCGTGTGTCAATCACGAGAGCGTGAGAAATTTATTATGAGAAAGAGATTTTGTTCTAAGCATGAGAAAAATTAAATTATCGGTCTCTTCTATGTACTAAGAGTTATAGTCATTTGTAATATTCGATAGTCATATTCGTTTGTCAATTTCATAATAAATAATAAATCAACAAAAGTTTATTTAAAAAATTAAATTCTCGAGTAATAGAACCTATCAAAAATTTTTTCTTCATTTTTATTCAAAAGTATTTTATTTTGACTAAGTTGAAATCACAAATATGAAAAAAGACAAATGTAAATAATAAAAAATATATAAAAGATGCAATTTGACAATTTTCGCTTATATCGAAATTGAATTACATCGTGACATCGTGATAATGTAATGGCAAAAAAAATAAAAATTCCTACTCCAGAACACTAACATTCCGATTTCGCAACGTTCCTAGCACTTCCATTTTTTGCTCGTTCACGTTTCAGACAGATGCACTTGTCAAATACGGAAAAAGGCATCACACGTTCTTCGCGTAACAACGTGATCGGATATGAACGTATAAAGAAAAAAGAAAGAAAAAAAGAGAGATAGACTAATCTCCGAGGTCGTTCGAAGCAGTCGCGGGAATATCACTCGTTTGATAATGGGTTCTTCCAACTTGTTTGGACTTAGATAAAGTATCTGTTAATTACTTATGTCGCCGCTAGTGACGCTAATCGAAACGATAAACAATAGCGAATCACCTCGACATATCGATTGCGAATTGTAAAATAAATGTATGTCGAAAAAAATAATGACGCAATCATTGAGAACACTGTTCTTTCATCTTTTTTTAGAAATTAACGAGCGAAAAGTGTTGACACAGAAAATTGAAGAATAAATGTTGAAAAATAAAAACACAAAATTTTTTAAGAGCAAAAGATATATGTATAATATATTTTCATGTATTTTTAAAATAAACTCACGATATTTCTGCTTTGCTTTCATCTTGCAGAAAGGAAACCTCTTCATGATAAAATTTTTTACTCCCATTTTCACCGTTTATTGATTTTCAACTATCCTGTGGATCGATTATATTCACTCATGCGTTTTTGTCAGAAGGGGTATAATTTTTATATAAAAAAACGCTCGCGTTAACTTTCGCGCATCTAGTTAAACTTGTCGATTACATCTTATATATACGAATTTTATTGGAAGCATTAATGTACACCGATACATGTTAAAAATATTTTATTGTATACAAATTTATAATAGCATAAATGATTAAAACAATTAGATAATTAATTCTACAATTTATTATTATTCCTATTATTGTATATATAAAATTTATAGTATTAATTATCTTATTTTTTTAATTATTTATGCTATTATAAATTTGTATACAATGATCTTTTGTATACAACAGCCTTTAAGGATGCTTTGTATGTACAATCCCAGCAAAAAGTAGCTGAAAATTAATATTGACGAATATATCCACTTTAGGTGTATTTTGAATATGAAAAATTGCGTGAAATATTACAATTTGATCTTAGCTACAGTGCAGAGATGTATTTTTTAATATTTATTGCGTTTTTTACTGAAATATTCCGAATTTTGTGAATCGAAATGATTAACATTTGGTAGAGAATTTCGCCTTTTGACAGATACATGGCTAACTTTATTGAATTATATTTAATATCTTTTTAACCAGTTAATATAATATTACTTGTATAATATTATTTGATCAAATATTTCCTCTGTATCTAAACTACACTTTTGCAAATTTTAAACAAATTCTGAATATTATTTCCATGTGTTTTTGTCATTTGAATCGACGTGGTTATACGTTTCCCATAAGAATACATGTTAATTCGATGCAAATTAAAATCCTTATAATTTATGAACGCTTTAGTGAATCGATTTAAAAATTGTACTGAAGAACATTAATGATTATTAAGATATCTTTTTTTATTGCTTAATAGTTTTACAATAAATATGCAGATCTATTACAATCAATGAAATTAGCAAATGAAGAAAAAATGCAATAATTTACTTGGTTACAATAAGAAATAATTTTTTTTTTAAATAACGATTGATTATTTTTTTTAGAAGGAAATAACATTTATTCCCTGTAACCAAGTAAATTATCAAATTTTTTCTTTGTTTGCTAATTTTAAATTGTTTTATAGATCTACATTACGTTCGATTACTCGATTCTTTTAAAAACAAAAAACTTCGTCGTAATTTTTCGCCATACTTCGGCCTTTGTGAACATTATCAATGTCTCGCAATTTTGCCTGATTTTCTATGATAATAAGGTTGATTAAAGCGTCGCAATAATTCTTCATCGCAAAATACGTTACGTATAATTCTGCAAGACTAATATGATTTTTATATATTTCTGATCTTTATATTTCAACGAATTGGGACAAGAGTAACATAATGCTTTATAGAAAAAAAAAAGCAAATTAGTTCGTTTTTGATATATGTTCGCGAGAACTCGGTTACCGCTCTTGATCACGACGACAGTTTGGTTCTTCTTCTTTTACGTATTTAATTAGTTTATGCAGATCTGATAAAGTCTAATCTGGCTATCCATTAATAAGTGAAAATGAGTACGAAAAAGAATGAATGAAAACATAAGAGATGATTTTTAGAGAGTCCTCTTAAGAACAAGATAAAAACTCAAAAATAAGGTCTGGATTAAAAAAACGCGCGTAACGTTAGAACACGTGCGACCCACGAATGGCAACGATCTTGCCGACAGTTTGCGTTTGACTGCTGGTGTGCCGTCAAGGCATAGCGAATGCTCCGACCGTTTGCGTTAAAGGTGAATGTGGAGGAGGGGAAGAAAGTCTCTCGTGCCGGCTATTTTTTGTTCGATGTTTCGCTGATTTGCTAATTGCGGAAAAAAAAACATTAATATCTTGCGCAGGCCTTCTTTCGCCGGCAAAACTAAAGATGTTCGCTCTCATTATTGTGAAATATTTTTATCAAACGCTTTCTTTAAAAAGACAATCTTATATATGAGCAAAATATTAATCAATTGGCTATTATTATAACAACTAATTTCATATTATAATTAAATAATTTAAAAGAAATTAAATTTTTTTAATTAAATTAATTTTTTTTATTTTGAATATATAGAAAAAAAAGATGACCATCAATTATATTTTCGGTGAAATCGACTTTAATTAATAGATAAATATGTCTGTAAATTTTACTCTATCTTTTTGTTGGTCACATATATATAGATATTTGTATTGCTGTATAATTTCGCAGACTTTTTAATTTATGGTTAAATTATTTTAGCTGAGAGAGAGAGAGAGAGAGAGAGAGAGAGAGAGAGAAATTTTGCGGTTTTGCATTTCATAAGAACGAGAATTAATTATGTTTGTTGCGCTGAAAGAAAGTTTCAGCAAAGAGGAAACGAGTAGAGTTAATAATGCATAGGAAATTAATTACCTATCGGAAAAAATTATCTTGTATCTGAATTTTTTTGTATATATTTGTACGCAATATTAATTGATATTATAATAATAGATATATGATACCTGCGCCAAAAATTACTTGATGCTCTGTTTCTTTAGTAAACAAATTAGTATTATAGAGAAATGAATATAACTTTTATATTTTTAAAATATGATTACGCATGTTAAAATTAATATTATCTTTCCTCATATAAAAATTATATAACAATTATTAATAGCAAGTTTGGTTGAATGATGAAATGCTGAACCAGTGCATATTTAAAGGCTCAAATACAGCAATATAATATAAGTAATTAAAATAATAAAATAATTAATGTTACAAATTATTGTTATTCAATACGAGTAACAATATAATAATAATATAAATAAAAAGATATAAATTATAAAATTAATTATCTTACTGTTTTAATTGTGTAGGATATTATAAATTTGTATAAGATAGTTTTTAATATATACCAATGCG